TAAGGGGTTGCTAATTGGGGTTTTGAGTGCCACAGAATCTCTCTGTTATTCCAGAATGATTCACGTTTTGAGGATGAGTTGATTCCTTTTATTCACAATTTATTCTCATTGTTCCTCGTTATTTCTTGATAAATCTTATTCAGCGAAGAAAACGTCAGGAATAACAAGGATAACATTTTCGAATTTAATTTAATTTGATTCGAAGTCACCTAGATGGCGTGGAAAAACAAACTCCAGCAAATTTAGGCATTTTCTAAATTATTTCGCGTAGAAAAAACTAATTTTATTGCATTTTTAGGTTATGAGAATTGATTTAAAGCAGTTTCTCATGGTTAAATAACCCTCAAAATCACCTAATTTGTGTTATTGTTGGGAATTTTTCTCTTTTCCTTGGCACAAAAATGAGAATTTGTATTGGAAGAAACTTAAAACCAATTTAAAAGTCTAAACATAACCTCAAAAATGTCATTTCAGCCTACAAGAATGTTTATTTGCTTAGGTTTTTCCGCACATTGTGCTTTAAAGTGGCAAATAAAGCCTCAAATATTTACAAATTTTCAAGTTTCAAAGGATTAAAAATTATTCCGAAAAGGATTTTTTGTTAAATCAGTTTCATAACCTCACAATTTCAGTCAGAAGTTTCCTAAGCATTTACCAAAGACAAAATTAAGAAAATGAAGACGGATTTTTGGCAAAACTGCAATAAATTCATGTGTTTTTTCAGTGGTTTTTTGCTAGAATTATTCTCCAATTATTCCACTTATTCGACGAATTTTACATCTGCAACATTAGCAGCCCCTTGCCCACAATGCAAACTAATTTTGCACCAGTTCAATTACTTGGCTCTGTGGCGGTTGAAATAAATAACGCAGCAACAGCTGTTTGGATTTCTAGTCTTTCCCTTGCAGAACCATTTGGCATCGACCCTCGAAAGCAGTGACTTTCTGGGCTGAGAGAGAGAGAGAGTGAAAGTTCTCCTATAATTTTATTCAGTGCTTTCCCGGGTCAGTCACATTAATAGGAGCCTCACTAAACTACCATTTTATAAACTTTAATGGCTCTTGCCAGGGCTCCATATGGTCGCTGAACTTGCAACCCTTTTGCTGTTTTCAGCCATTTCGCCCGATTTAATTCCTCTGTCTGGGGAAAATTTTAAACCATTTGGCGGGAAAAAAAAACGTCAAACATTCTTTCCTCACTAATCCAAGAGAACCATCGTTTGAGCTAATTTATTCATCTGAACAGAATCGCGCGGGCAAAATTTCACGATGGAAAATTGTTTGGGGGTGAAAAAAAATCCCTGTTAAACATTTTCCTTGTCATTTCACTTCGGGCCTCATTATCGTGTGGTTCGTAGCACTCGCCAATTGCGAATTTTTCCCCCATAAATCTCCCTCCAGAGCAATTCACGCACCATCGCATTCACGTGGAAATATATATCTCGACGAAGCTTTCGTTGGGGGTGAAATTTCAACTCTAATCATGATGTACAGCCGACCAACTATTTAGAATTCAATGCGAAAACATTAATTTGTGCTCTCCGGTTGAGTATATTTGCGTGATTTAATCTTTTATTTATGTGCCCCAGAACAAGGGGGAGATAATATGGCTGAAATCTGTACAACACTTTCACAGTTTTGTGTGAAAAACACTTCCAGAACATCAGCACCGCTGAAAACATGCTCTTTCCTTATTTTCGGCACCTTTTTCGGAACTGTATAGATTTTTCCAACCACCTAAAGCATCATAACCTCAAATTTCAAAGTCTTTGACCCAAAAAAGACGCATTATTTTACTTTTATGACTTTGAAAACTGAGTGAGAAACTGTATTTTTGAAATAATCCCTGTTTCCAGTGGACATTTTGATATGATAAAATATTTAATCGTTCTTTTGGAAGCACTTCAGAACATAACCTAGAAATTCTTGAGATATCGACAAAAATACTTGAAAAGAATTTATTAGAAATATTTTAAAGGCAAGATTAACCGAGAATAAGCTGAAATTTGCTGTTTTAGAGTAGAAAATCAATCAAACAGCTCTTAAAACAGCAAATTTTGTGTCCTGAAACAATATTTTAAATGTTATGTTTTATTTTAGCGTAATTAACACTGTTTAACATTGAAAGCTTCTGTTTTATCAGATTTCATTATTATAATGGCAGGAAATTGCAAATTATACAAGTTTACACGCAAGAATGAATGATTTTGAAGGTTATTTATTGACAAAGATTGTCCTAAAATCCATAACATAACCTATAAAATTGTGAAAAAACAATTTTTTCTCCAATTATTGTGTTAAGTCGTTTTGAAAGTGACTTTTTAACGCCTAATATTGCAAATATTCAAACATCTCCACTTTCAAATACTTCCATTGAGTTGTACACCACTTCTGACCGTAATATCTCCCCCTTGGCACACAGAGTGTGCTTTCCTATAAGCGAAAGTGGTGGGAATAATAAAAGTAATAAATAACCATTAATAACTTTGGCGGAGGAAAAATTATTTCGCACGAATACACTTTGCCAAGTTAATGTGGGAGCAATTTGATAGCATTTCCTGCGATTTTCACCCATTGTCAATGAAGAGAAATAGTCATGCACGCCAATTTGGGCGCTCTGGAACTCCTCGTCGGCGAGCGAGTGTTGTGACACTAAATTAGCGATGACAAAATCGATAAAACACCGCAAGAGCGCCGCCTTCTTCCGCCCAATTCCACCCTTTCGAACAATATCACTTTCAGAGATAATTTATCCGCGCTTATTGACTGTCAAGTGGAATAAATTTGCATGAAAAATCTCACTGTGTTTCTTCTGATCTCAGAAATGCAGTTCTTGTGACGAAAATCTTTGATAAATATACATAAATTTTATGTATTTTGAATATGACAAGATTTATGAAAATTAAAGAAGAAGAAGTTGTGAAAAAATTAATTTTCATAATAAAACATAAAGAATTTCAAGTCAAATAATTTAAATTCATGCCAAATATTTTATTTATTTAATTTCTAATAATATTTTAGGAAAATTCTAAACACAAAATTAATGTTTTACTTCTTGTTTTATTTGAATTAATGAAAATTACTTTGATGATTTTTTTTGAGAGAAAAAAATGTATAAATTGTTTAAGAAACAGATTTCTAAACAGAAATACTGCAAATATTGAAACACTTCCATTTCTTAAGCGCTTCTGCTATGCTGTACACCATTTCTGACTGCATTATCTCCTCCTTGATCGGATCTAGTATTGAACCAAGACGAATATACTTAATAAACACAGTAAAATATACAGAAAATATTTATTAGGCAGCATAATAGAACTTTACACACAATATTAAACTAATAGTCTCAGTGCAAAAGAAGAATTCAGAAGATTTCTACGGTTTACGACGTGAATTTCCAGAAACTTTCTCAAAGGTTTCACAAAGATTTGGATAATCTGAGCTGCAACGCATTCCATTTGATTCACACTCCGAACACGGCGTTCCAATTTTGTATGGGAACTTATTATAATCGGTATTTTCGGAGAAAATAAAGAAACACGTGTATTTCATATACAACTTTCCGACCTCTTCCTCACCCTGCGCAGAAGGCGTGTAAGCAAAGGAACAACCGACACGATAAGCCCTTTCATCCAGATTTTTCAGAACAAAGTCTAAGAAATTCCACCCAGGAGAATTCTTCAGTCTCACTCTTTGAGATTCCACGCCCACAAAGATATCCTGCAATTCTATATAGCGCTGCAAATTCCAATATTCATCGTTAACAAATCCTCCATTATCAGGCCTAAACACTTCGACAAAGTCTCTGAATTTTGTGCCATTCTTGGCTGTGACTTCAACCCAATTGCTGTATATATAAATTGATCTTGTTAAACGATTGGGAATAGTTCTGCAGAAGGTTATGCGTTTGCACCGCTGCAGCTCAATTCGTGTCAAATACTCCAAAGTTGAATCCCACTGAATTTTCATCATTCGCGATGCTTTATGCGGAATTCCAGGAAATTCTCCGCCAGCAATGCGACTTCTTTGCTCATTGTAGCGTTTCACAATTTCCTTCCTGTCCTCCTTGGTTAATTGGAATAACTCGACGTCGGAGCAGAATTCTGGGTCGGTTTTTGGATTAAAACAGCCAACATGCGATGCCGCAAGATCGTCGCAAGTTTCATCGCCATATTCGCACCAATCAATTTTCTCAGGCGATTGCGCTGAAGATTGAGGCAAAATCACCACTGATAACACGAGAACGATAATCTGCGAAGAACAACCAACGATTTCAGTACAATATTCCACAGAGAAACACTAATTTTTCCTTACGTAAAGCATCTTGTGATCACCCAGTCTTCTTCAAGTTCAACTTCACAGTGAAGACACCGAAGTGAGGCAGTTGTATTTATAACATAATGCGTAAAGAATTGCTACTTTCAAAAAACCAGTCTTCGCGGATGTTTTATACAAAAAGACACATTTTGTCACCAAATGAATCGATAAGGCGGCATCGGCAGATCGTTGTCTTCATTCACATGTGCGAATCTTTGCAAGCTGAAGAATTTTCACAGACTTATTGACTGTCAATGGAAAAATAGTAATTTAAGGAGCTTCGCAGTGTTTAACTGATAATTCAGGCTTGCGATCTGAATTTCCAGAAGCTTTCTTATTCTTATAATTTTCACAAAGATTTGGAGTGAAACGTCTTACGACGCGATAGTTGTATTTTTAACATTTCAATCTGTAAAGAATTCCTATATTTTCGAAAAACCAGTCTTTGCCATCATCATGTATATTATGTACGAAAAGAGATGTTTTGTCACTAAATTAATGATGGCAACACTGATAAAACGTCACCATCAGATTGTTGTCTTCACACTTTGCAAAGCTCTGTAAATCTGTGTTTAATCTGACTAAGAAAGTGGATAAAATTGCACGAATTGTACTGAGAATCCTCCGTTAAAATTGAATTTATCTTTTGTAGCAATAAGTAAACAATGCATTTATTAATTTGCACAATTATTTATTATTTAAGAGCTTTAAAGTACGTAGTTGACACTTGTTTATATAGTAACTGAAAGATATTGAAAGTCCTCAGACGAAAAACTAAATCTAAGAACTGTCAACAACATTGCCAGAGGATTCTTTGTAAATCTCACAGAGATTTGGATAATCTTTGCTGCAACGCATTCCCTTCGATTCGCACTCTGAACACGCAGGTCCGATATTGTAGGTCAGCGTATTGTAGCTGTACTGTTCGGTGAACATGAAGTTGCAGATGTACTTAACGTACACCTTTCCACACTGTCCATCGTGATCCTCCCACGTTGGCGTGTAAGCCATGGCGCAGCCGAAGATGTAAGCTGTCTCGTCGATATTCTTCAAGTAGAAATCCAAATGATCCCAGCGCGGCGCATTCTTCAGTCGCACCTTATTCGATTCCACATCCACAATGAGATCATTGCAATTGATCTGGCTGTCCATGAATTCATATTCTGACGTGATGAAGCCTCCAAACATCGTGTCAAAATCACTGAAGCTTTGACCCAATCTTTCGGACGGTTTTGTGGTATTCCACTCGTGATATTGATAAGCTGTCTTCGTCAGGCGATTAGGAACGGCGCGACAGAAGTAGCTGGATTTGCACCTTTGCAGCTCAACTCCTGCCAAATACTCCAAAGTGTCATCCCACTTAACTTGAATCATTCGCGACGCATTGAAAGGAATGCCGGGAAATTCTCCGCCAGCAACGCGATTTCTGTATTCATTGTAGCGTTTCACAATTTCCTGCCTATTTTCGTCGGTCAATTTGAGTAATTTGACATCATGACAGAATTTTGGGTCGGTTTCTGGATCGAAACAAGCAACATGTTCCACATCTTGATCACAATTATCCTTCTCAAGGCCACACCAATCAACTTTCTCAGGCGATTGCGCTGAAGATTGAGGCAAAATCACCACTGATAACACGAGAACGACAATCTGTGAAGAACAATCAACGAATTCAGTACAATATTCCACAGAGAAACACTAATTTTTCCTTACGTAAAGCATCTTGTGATCACCCAGTCTTCTTCAAGTTCAACTACACAGTGAAGAAACTTGCGACGAGACAATCGTATTTATAATGTCTTAATCTGGGCAATTCCTATGTCTTCGAGAAACCTGTCTTCCTCAACACAGCCATGCAAAGAGTTGATCTGGAGATCCCCACGCCGACGAGCTTAATTTATATGAAATCTGAACAAGTGTGAATGCTTAATTCAATTCTGATCGTCACGATCAGATGACAAGTTATCGAACTTTTATAATGCTCGTGTTAGCATTTTAATTAATTCCATCGCTTGGTGAAGAAAAAGTGACGTTTGTGTGGCAAATACACAGACAACAAGCACGTGTCTGTATTGATTGTGTCACTCAATAAAGAAATATGTTGCAAAATATGATATGCAAAAGATTCTTGGTCTCTGGCGCTCTAAGATAACCTCACAAATGTGCTCAAGTATCGATCAAGAAGTTGTTTATCTTGTGAAATGTAAGAAAGAAGAAATTTTACGCGTGACAAGATTCGTCAGCGGCAAAAATCGCTTCACTCACACAATCTTCTGCGCTCGTTATGAATGACAACGACCGTGAATTTGCAATTAAGTAATTATATACGTCACTTTGGATGTGTACAAAAAGATTCGCGGCTGAACCGGTTGCAGAGAATAAAAATGATACGAATATGAATTCATTATTCCACTGTCTTGTTTTTGTGTCTGGGGATTCCCCTTGACAACTTCAGCATTCTCTCTGAGTTAAATCATTAATCATATCACAAAGCTGTGAAGCATGTGATTTCTAGTTCAGCTCAATTTTGACCAAGGGGCAAATCACAAGGCGATTTTTGAGGAAACTTAATGTTCTCTAATGCAATAATCAATTATTTGAGTTAAATAATCAAAAAATGATTATTTTCCCAAGTAAAATTGAAAAATAATCAAATTATGGTTTGAATAATTAAAAAAAAAGATTATTTTCTCAACTAAAATTGAAAAAAAAATCTTATTTTGAATAAATAATTAAAAAAAAATTATTATCCCGAGTAAAATAACAAAAAAAATCAAAATAAACAAATTCTGAATAAAATAGTCAAAAAAATTATATTTTCTCAATTAAAAAAGAAAAATAATTGGAAAAAATTTTTATTTCCCAAAAAAAAATTACAAAAATTTAAAATAACCAAATTCTGAATTGAGTGATAAAAAATGAATATTTTCTCGAAATAAATTGAAAAATAATCAAATTTAAAAAAAAAATATCCAAAAATTATTATTTTCCAAAGTAAAGTTGATAAAAAAACCAAATTTTGGATAAAATAATCAAGAAATTATTGTGTTCCAAATTAAAATTGTAAAATAATCAAATTTTGAATCAAATAATAATAAAAAAAATTGTTTCCCAAAGTAAAATTTAAAAATATTCAAATTCTAAATAAAATATCAAAAAAAATATTATTTTCCAAAGAAAAATTACAAAAAAAAATTTCAAAAGAATCAAATTCCGAATTAAATAATTTAAAAAAAAAGAATTTTTTTCCAAGTAAAATTTAAAAAAAAAATTCAGAAAATAATCAAAAAATAATCAGAATTTGTATAAAATAATCAATTTTTCATTAAATATTCAAAAAAGAATACAAAAATATTCAAAAAATAATCAAATTTTGATTACATATTCAGAAAAAAAAATCAAAAAATAATTAGAATTTGACTTAAAATCACAAATAATCGATAAAAAGATTGAATAATCACAAAGTTAATGATCTCAACTTGCGACTGACTTTCCCCTTGATTTTGACTGGAGAATCCGATTCAGCGCCACATTTGCGTTCATTAGTGGCGTGCAGAGTGTCAATTAGGCTATCAAAATAGGTCTTGTGTCAAATTCTGCGGTGGTTTTTTTTTTGTGCAACAACACAAAATGTTTGATGCTGTGCGATTTGCAAAGTTATCCAAACAATTTCCAAAATTCAGTCTATGTAAATGTGTGAAATGTGTTAGAGAGGTATGATGGATATTCGGGGTGGGAAGGGGGAGGAAATATTTGTCTTGCTTGTGTCTACGATGTGGAGTGTTAAAATCCCATCCTCAAATGATAAACACGCGCGCAAGCGAGCGTCATGGCGCATATATTATGTAATAATACAAATTAAGGGCGAATCATGTAATTTAATATTGGAACAAGAACCCATTAGAATGGCGAATGTTAATTGAAATCAAAACAATTCAGCACTAGTTATGTGAGAACCGCAAAATTCACGAGCTCTTCTCCACCCCCAACCCCCAACCCCCCAACCCCACCCCAAAATCCGCACATCCGTGCACGCAAAGGTAATTTCACTCAACTTGTTTATGGTCGAGACGGTAATGTCGATTGAAATGAAAATGCTCACCGCAACCGAGTTCAACAGCAACCCCAACACATTCTATCATGTCAGAGGATACATTACAGGGTGGCATTGTTGGGGCTCCGGAGGGGTTGTTCGCCGCCCCGAGCTCTGATGGCTGCTGAGTGGAAAATCAACAATGCTCAATGCAATCACTCATATTAAATGTGTGACTTCCTCTTCCAAAAATCACTCACACTCCAGGTTAAATTGATATTCGATTGCCGACACCGTAAAGTATACATAAGTGCACATATACAGTGACATCAAATTAAATAGAGCCTCTCAAAGCTCTCAAAGTGAAGCTAGAAGTCTGAAATTTTCCACCCATCTTCCCTCATTTATAAGTAATTACCATGCTAAATTTGACGTCATTCAGCCTAATCCTTAATTCGTTTATGATACTAAAACTCAACAAAAGGAGAAATAAATCGTCATAGAGTAACATTTGAATTTTAGTGACTTAAATATGTGGTCGTGTTCTTAATGGGGTTTAAATGAATCTGAAGTATCTTCAGGATAATTGTCCTGTCGATTTTCATTTATTACATCGAAGATCCTTTCAGGATTGTTTCTTAAGTTCTCTCTAATCCTTTTTAATACCACGAGGAACAGATTTCATGAGTCTAGCACGAAAAGCAAGAGCACAGAACAAAAATCCCCAAAACATTGCATTTCTTTTGTCATCTTTTAATGCTGATTTCGTGCATTTTGAGCTGAGTTCTTGGCTTTTGAGGCGCCAAATAAATCTCTTATCATGACAGATCCATGACAGGTGAACTTCAGTCCATCAAAACACAGAACTTTTTGCCATTTTCCTAAAGCCCGAGATTCGTATTTCTTAAAAAACGCGAATTTGGGGCTTTATTTAATTTAGAGTGTGTCTTTAGTGTCACAAAAGGATGAAGGATTAGGTCGATTGTCTTGAAACTTGGCATGATAATTACTTATTAATGAGGGAAAATTAGTGGAAAAATTCAGACTTCTAGCTTCACGTGGAAATTCGCAGCACATCGATGTGTTTCTATTTAATTCGAAGTCACTGTATATTCAACCGCCAGAGTCAATTGCAAAATCCGGATGGTGTCTTTTCTTCAACCGTTTCAACACTTCTTGACACGAATATGTGTTGTTATATATATAGTACAGTACAGTCTGAGTTAATTGCATTTTGGGAAATTCCCGAAATTCTCTGCTTTCCTCTCTGAAACTCTAAGAGAAAATTATTGAACAATTTAACTAAATTACAAATAAATATCTCTGGAATTAAAAAGAGAGAGAAGAAGTGGAGGAATTCAGTGGGCAGATAGTGCAGTATTGCTGTGAGATGGCAAAAAGTGCAATTTGTCATTTGGGCTTGATAATTGCTTGTGGACTCTGCATCCAAATGCTCGGCAAAATATCCAACCTAATAGCTTTTTAATTGCTCTTCTTGTGATTCTTTTCTGCAAATTGGCACAATAATTGTCCCATGCCTTTTCCTAATAATTCATCCTATCAGCCTGAGAGTCCTGGGAAGCTCATCTCAGCTTCCCAATTACGTTTCTTCTGCAACAACGAGTCGCGGCGTAGTTAAGTTAGGAGAGCGGCTCAGTTGCCGGCAGGAAAAGTGGGGAAAAAAGCGTGGTGTAATTGTGAATTTCAATTTTGTTGTGCAATAAATTTACAAAGTGTAGTTACAGTATTTAACAACGCATTCAATTTTCATCTAGCTCGAGTGTATTTGAAAAAAAAAAGTTGAATAAAATTGCAGAAAAATTGCCCTTTACTGGAATATAAATCTCCAACACTCTGGGAAATGCTTTTTAATTAAAGTTGAAGCGACAGAGAGAGAGAAAAAAAAAGAACTAAATGGGAAAGATAATATTATTGCATAGTTTTGAATGTTCCAACATATTTTCAACTGGACATTCAAATTGAAACTCACCAGTGAATTTTCCGTGATACGAAGTTAAATAAAATTATTTCTGCGCATCGAATTGTATATGTAACTTGAGCTTTTCACATGCCATGATATAGAATTTCATTAAATTACCGCTATTGCAATAAATATTTTGAGCTTTTGAACATATTCAGTGTGTGGAAGAGAAGAGAATTTGCCAACTTTCAACTTGTATTATAGTTAATCGGAGTGAAATTTTCAGTTTCATACACTGAAAATGCTTTTTCAATTAACTGCCAAAGCATGTTTATGGGAAATTGTTTAGCGATTAAGAGTGGAAATATGCGATGCTTCAAGACAAATATGTAGGAAAAAAAGCGTTTTGAGTTGCGCAACAGATAATAATCTAATCAAGAGTGATACATTGAAAAATGTGTATATATTTAAATAGTCGTTGCGATTTTCCTGTGCTTTTCCCAGATATCATATTATGCTCATAAAACATCCCCAAATACTCACTCGCTCGTGTGCATTAAATTCGTTTCGAATGAGCGCACATATCTAATAACAGCAAACTTTTCGCCGGATGTACATTTTGTGTGTGGCATAAAATATGGAATTTGTGCGTATTTTGCTCATTTCTCCCACAATATGTGTTTGAAACACATAATTTTATGTTGCACAGACATTTTATTTATAGTTTGATTTAAATTTAACCCATTTCATTATGCTTTATAAATTGTATTTCTGTTTTTTATAGTTGAATTTTTGGTTTTGCTTTAATTTTCAATTTAATATACAAACAATTCGACGGTTTTTCTCGAAAACTATCAAAAGTCGTTTGAATTTTTTAATAAATCTTGACATCTTCCATC